ACACGAGAAACAGATGGACGGTTATATTTCTCTCTCACTCTATATATATATATACATACATACATACATACATACATACATACATACATACATATATATATATATATATGTATATAGACGCGTATGCATCTACGTATATGTGTACATGTATATATTTATGTATGTATGCAATTGTGCATGTACGTCTGCGAATACATATATATATATACACACACATAGATCCATATACATATATACATATATAATACAGTTGTATGTATATATATATGTGTGTGTGTACAAACATGCTTAAATGTGTAGTACATATACACATACAGGTACATATGCATGCACATGCACATGAACATATACACATAGATGTACATGTACATATACGCATGCAAATACATATACATTATAGATGTACATGGAAAGATTCATATAGCATTCATATGTACACGCGCACACACACACATACATATATATATATGTGCTTATCAATCTGCACAAGCCACCGAGCCTCAGGAAGCCTCGGCATGTCCTCCTCAGCAAGCAAACCCTACCCTTCCAACGATGGAGTACTACATCCTCAGCGATAAAGTCGGATCGCAGTAAGAGGGTAATCCATAGCAGTAGCAGTGTACTAGGGATAACTCATGCCTTTCGTTCTTTCGAAGTTCTATTCGGTGGCATGAGGCTTGGGGGTATTGGGTCTATCGCTGAAGGCTTGGAAGTCAGAGGGCTTCTTTGTCGGTTATAGTTTGAGGGTGCAGGAGCTCAGGTTCAGCTCTCCGGCTCACGGGAGCTTTCTGAATCGATGGAGCAATGAAGATTCGGGGTGGAAGATTCTGCAAGCCAAGGAACAAAGAAACACCGAGGCCCGAATTCCTTCAAGGCTCTCCATACTTCGGCCGCTCGCTGCATCTAGAGGGCCTTAATTAACATTAGTTGAGAGCAGTATAGGTAATTATTCAGGCTCCTATGTCAGGCCATTTTCAGCTTCCATGCAGCATTTTCCTGCCAGGTCTGCACTGAGGTTCGGCGAGCTTTTTCGACATCTCAGCGACAATCCCTAGAAATATCCCAATACAGTGTAATTCTCACTTCCCTACGGATTCATGTATCGCCGCAAGACTCTGCTGCAAGGGTCATGCATGTTGCCCACCCTGTAACACTGCTCCATGATTCAATATCCTAAACCACGCTTCCCATGAACCTCTTGTCCTGGACCCACCCTACACAGGACAGAAGCAGATGCAGCAGATAACTGGAGGCACGAAGTTATCCTAACACTCCCAACTCCTCTTTCAGTGCCAGTGGGCAGGAACATTTGCTGCAGAGCTTTTCGCAAATGTCTCCCGACACGCTGCCTATACTACATGCCAGATCTGCTTCTCCAGCAGCTTCGTTCGGGCTTCTGATATCCAAAACGTTAACGTCTCAACCCTTAACATTCATTCTACCATCCAAAGAAGTTGAAGGTTGCTTGCTCGGCTACCAGCGCTTAACCTCCGAAGCCAGTCCTCCATCCTTCGCCAGAATCAGTGGCAGAGTACGGCCATGCGTACCAAGACCATCGTACGCGGCAGGCAACGTGAGGTTTGGGACTTACAAGTAGGGACTGAGGGTGTTAGGTCTTCTGGGATTCAGAAAGTCGTAGGTTCTGTCAGGTGCGGGCTCAGTGGGGCTAAGTGGGGCTTAGAGGGGTTTTGGAGTCTCGGCTTTGAGGCTAATGGCGTTGAGTGTTTGGTATCGGGTGTCTAGGTTTGGCTTCTTGGACCACTCTGTGTCAAGTTTGCGGGACTACTACAGGCAATCTCTTGGTGTAAAACAATGGGCCCTTCTTTGCTGCAGGCTTGAACTTGTGGGGTCTTCTCAGTATACAAGCCGTGGGCACGAGCATGTCCGGCATTCGCCTGGGAACACGGCTGCGCGGCAAGCCATCCATCAAACGAGTCAGGCACCACGAACACCCAAATAGTCGAGAGAGTGAAGATACACAAATCAAACAGAATGACTAACAACTGTGAAAATGGTGATGAATAAGAACAGTAATTTAATTGTGAAAATGAACATGACAGCAATAAGAAGAATAAATCTGGCAGGCCTGACACCCTGATCTCCCAGCAATCGAAAGCCTCCAAGCTCAGAACTGGAAAGACTCGAGGCCCCGTACTGAGAAGGCCTCCAAGTCTGCAAGCCCCAAACCCACTCAAAGGGCTTTAATTAGAGGAGAAGTGAACTGTGAATCAAAACTCGAAAACCCTACCCTGAAACGCAGGTTCTCGAAGGTGTCGTGGTAGGTGCAGTGCTGGCAAACGCTGGGACTGTAGCCTACCCTGAACCCTGAGCTCTAAACCCGCTGCACGAGACAGGGAGCACCAATCGCGCTTCTACTGTCGCATGCAGACTCTCAAGCCCAATCAACAAAGCAACTCATCAACACGGCGAAGCTGAAGACGCAAGGCCCAGAAATCCCTCGACTCGACGCCTCGGCCCGGAACGCAAATGCAAAAGAAGACATCTGCAAACAAGCGGGAAAGACGAGGGTTTACGCTTATGGCCTAGGGTTGTGAAGATAGTCAACGGCTTCAGGCAATCCTTCGCCCTTAGCACTTATCTCGAAAGAGCGGTCAGGCTCACATCGCAACCTTTCCCGGAGACAAATCCCAAAGCCTCGATACCAAACCCTGACCTTTTTCGTTGACGGCCCGCCGTGACTGAGATCCGTCCCACAGAGGTAAAGAGATCTCTACCGTCGTGGGATACCGGATTTGGGGTTTCAGGGTTTCCGAGTGCTACACATCTTCAGTTTTTTGTTGGGTCTTTGGGACTGGGAGTGGCTTGGCACTTCGAGGCAGTCTAGCTTTTGACCCTTCCTTGGGCCCCTTGGGTTCTTAAGATCCTAAGCTTAAGAATTCCAGACTATCTGACTACTACCCTCCGACGGATCCAGAGGCCGCAATCCTGGAGCGCTGGACCCACACTGAGGGAACCCAACAGGGCCTCACACTTAGAGTATGGGTTTCTATGTATAAGGAGATGTACTGCCTTCGAGGGCTTATGGTGTGGGGTCTCGGGTGTAGGGTTCAGGGTTTAGGGCTTCGGGTTTAGGGCAGAAACCGACCAAGCCGCTTAAAGCCTCAAACCCTGGGCACCCCAAGGCGAGAAACATAGATTGCGAGCTGCCGCATTGGTCACACCAGAGACGGCGCTCCTGTACACGACTACAATTCTTGCTTCTGAACACACTCGCAACTGTACACTCGTCCACACTTCCCTGCTGGAGCCCCATGCTACATTCACAATCATAAGAATAACAACAAGAAAAACAGGACAACAATAAAAATAATAAGAACAATGATAACCTATCTTCGGAAACAACAGGATTGACACTTCCACGAGTTTGGCGCTCCGAGGGCCTTTAGATTTGGGATCAAAGAGTCGTTGACTTCTGCTCCCGCGGCTAGGAAACTAAGCCCAAACACGAAATCCGAAACCCTAAGCACCTTCTAAGGTGAAGGGTCTTGGCGGATTTGGAACTCGAAGTACAGGCTGAAAGTGTGGGGGGTCAGCCATGAAGCGTAACGCCAGGTGATGCTACAGTATACTACGGTGTGCTATAGTATATTCTGGTATGCTCCAAGGTATGTTATAACAGCGTTTTGCACGGGCTTCCTCAGGGGTCTTGGCTGAAGAAGGAAGCGCACTTGCGGGTTGGCCGGGCTCTTGCTACGGGAATTAAGGCGCATATAGGGGATACATGGTAAAGAATTGCCCTCCTGTCGCAACTTAGGAACCTCATAAAGCCCTTCTGAACACCAAAACACCCCTGAAACAACAACACATCTTAAGATCCTCAACAAGGGCCCTACAGTGGGCTCCTGCAACCTCTTGGGAGCTCCGGCAGTTCTGACGCCACAGGGAAAACAATGCGGCAAAGCCGCGAATTCATGGCACCCCTCGACCGGAGCCTACATCGCTACCTTAAAGGTGTGTTAGTGTTACTTTTACCAGCATTGTAATTATCAGTGCTATTATGACCTTACTATCACTATAGCTCCGATGCAGACCCGACGACAAGTTCGCCGAGATCTTGAAGCTCCCTGCAACAAAAAAAGCTTCACAACTCCTACTTGGTGCTTACGCATCTCCTTATGTGTTTGCAATCGAGAACCCCATGCTCCACAGCTTAACGCCGAAGTGGTACATAGACTTCTGCGAACCACCCACATGCAAGTCATACTAGGACCAAGAATGTCCAGCTCAATGTCAAGGGGCCGAGACGTGGGCAGTTGCCACGCCAGGTGAAGCTTCAATTTCGGAACTTTACAACTTTACAGGTTTTGTGTAATGGACAAAGCTGTCACCGCCGCCTCCAGATGGAAGCCACCTTCAACTGGGCTCTGGTCAGCACGGTACAAACTCTTGTCGTAGTTTGTCTATCAAGAAAAACCTTCATAAATTCGTGCATTCGAAGACCAAAGCTCCAGCGTGCTAGACCGGACTAAACCATCTTCCACATGCGGTGTCATTGAATCACTTGGCCGCGTCGGACATCACCTAGGCAGGGCTAGACACTAACCAAACCTCATGTGTCCTTTGTTGCAGGCGGGGCAGTGGAGTTCAGAGCGCCTAACCCTTTCAACTATAGTTTCAGTCTTGCTTGGGTATCTGTGCAGGAAGATTTGCAGATGAAGCCAGCTTCGCAACGAGGGCTTGGAGATGACGTGAGACCTGCTTCCCCCACCCCTCAACCCTCAACCCTCCCCCAAGAAGCTCTCCAGACAAATCCGTCCGGACTCGACCAGAAGTATAGAGACTGCCGTATGTTCAGGATCCAGGCTTAAGGGGTGTGTTGCAATGGTGTTGGAGCGAGGGACCCCTTCAGACTTTGTTCTTTTCACTGCCACAAGGACGAGACGAAACTTAGAACAGCGACAAGTCGTCGGCTCTAGACAAGTGTGCATAAGGCTCGTACTGCATGGGTAAGGACTTAGGATCTTGTCGAGATGCTTTCGTCAGTTGGAGGCTGAACGGGGCCAGAACCTGCGCGGCAGAGTCGTTTGGGACGAAGAGGATGAGGCAGGGTTTACCGTCAGAGCTTTGAAATCATCGTTTCGATCATAATTTCACGGTTTGTGAAATGTTCGGATTCAGGGGGGGGGGATGCTGGGAGGCTTGGCTTCGTGAGGCGACCTACGGAAGAGTCTGCAGTCCGCTGCTGGTCAGGTGCGCCAGGAGCCTCAAGCAGTAGCGAGGCTTCCTCCTCTCATATGCAAACGCATCATCAAATGGCTATGGGTACTAGACATGTTCCACCCGGAAACTGCGGAAAGCGCCCCCGAAGCTGCGGAAGCAAAGGCTTGGTTTCCCATGACGCCCAATCTTTCGAGACCCCGACGTGTCAACCAATGAACCCTACACCCTAAACCCTGAACCCTAAACCCCTAAACCCCTGAACTCTAAACCCCTAAAGCCCTAAACCCCTGAACTCTAAACCCCTAAACCCCTTAACCCCTGAACCCCTAAACCCAGAGATTCGATCTCTCCAGGCACCTCGATGCGAAGGTGCAGCAGGAACCCCGCACGTCGCAGTTGTTCTGTGTCGGCTTTTCCTCGACAAAAAGAATAGAAGCAGGTCTTCTTGGTTGTGCAGTATACTCGGGTTACCGGAAAAGGCTAAGGTTTTGGGGCTTAGATTTTCGGGCTTAGGGAGCTTTGAGTCAGGAGTTTCTTTGGGTTTCGGCCGGCAGGTATCGGCTGAAATACATCGTTGGGCAAAAACATGAATTACTGGCGAGGGCAGAGCTTCGAACATCAGAAGCTTCCCTGAACCTAGCCTAGAACATCCGGTTGACCTACAACTGTTGACTCATACCAGAGCCACGTCAAGTCCCGAAAATCATTGCAAAGCCCGGGGTGACTTGGCAGGGGCCCGGACTGGAAAAACTGTCTATGCCACTCATGCGCCTTCTGAGCCAATGCAACCCCGTGACCCCCGACCCCAAACCCCAAAACCTTTGACCATACACACCCCATTCTTCATGGCACCTGCTCGCAACAGCCCTAGGGCGCCCTAGGGCTTAGGCAGACCTTCGACCTCAGAGTTCTTTTTGGGGGGTGGTTTAGGGCCCTTCCGTTCAGGGGCCGTCCTGGGGCCCCTGGTGACTCTTTGGCTTCGGAGTTTTGTCCGCCAGTTTTTTTGGGGACTTCCGGAGCGGCTCACAGAGGCCTCGGAGCCGAAGCAAAAGTCTGGGCCAGGCCCGAACCCTCCACGAGGAGAGAGGCCCCAAAAGGCCCTGAATGCAAGCACTGCCGTACCGTCCTTAGAACAGCCGCGGGAGGCCGAGATGAAGCGGAAAAGCCAAGGCTAAAACTACTGCTTGTTGGGGTGAAGTAGGGGGCTAGAGTGAAATCTGCTTAGGCCACAAAGGCTTGTATTCAGCTCTTATGCGTCCCCAACAACCCCAAACTACCCTCGTCCCTACTTGAGGCATCCTCCACCACCTTCAGCGACATGCGGAAGCCTCGAAACCCTAAGCCCTAAACCCCCGCAGCCACCCCCAACCGACCAAAAGCCTGAACCCCAGGAAACCCCAAGCTACAAAGCTGCTCGGGTCCTCCTCCAGGGTCTCCGGAAGGATGGCAGCCACCGCCGTGGCGGCGCAGCCAGCGCCGGCGAGCATCCTCGAAGACTACAGGAGGCCATGGGATCTTAGAGTTGAGGCTTCAGGGCGGGCCTAGGGCTTAGGGTTTAGGGTTCAGGGTTTAGGGCTTAGGGTTTAGGCTTTAGGGTTTAGGGCTTCGGTTTCAAGATCCCGGAGTCTTTGGAGCTTAGGATCCAGGAGCTTTGAGGCTCAAGATCTGGGGACCTCGGAGTTTTCCCCCACCCCCAAAGCCCTGGTAGAGCCCTAAGGCCCCAAGCTTTGTCGCCAGCTTTGATGAAGCTGTTGCCACATGGGCAGTTGTCTAAATCAGGTAAAGGTCCCTTGTTGTGAGGGTGCCGTACTATTTTTTTAAAGGGACCCTAATTTAGAGGACTACCCACATGTACACTACCCTACGAGGGCCTAAAGCAAGCCTTACAAAAACCCTGAACTCTAAACACCGATACCCCGGAGAGGACCTTCCAACTTGCTGCTGATGCAGGCGGTTGATCCTTGTTGAACCCTAAAACCAGAACCCCTAAAACCAGAAGAAGGATCTCACAGGGCGCCATGCTTAAGCTAACTTATTTGGTACTCAGATGCATCTCAGTTTCTGAAGTCAAGGAGGCTGGAACCCTGGGTCTAGGGCGCAGGCATCAAGTTGTGAGAATACCAAGCTTGCACCCAGTTCTTTAAGCTGTGTGGGGTTTGCCCCACCAAACCCCAAAAAGCCCTGCACTCTAAACTCTAAACCCTAAAAGCCCTACAGCCCCAAACTACACAACCCGTGTACAGCTTTTGGAACCGCTCATGTCTCCGCCGGGCAGCACGAATGCTGCTCCAAAGCTAACGCTGTTGGCCAAGAAGCCTAGAGGGTGCAGCTTCTGTCTTGAAGGGCTTCGGCTACGGGATTTAGGGTTGGGAGTGTTGGGTTTATGGATTAAGATTGAGGGTTTAGGGTTGAGGGTTGGGAGCTTAGGGTTGAACGATTCGGATTTAGGCTCTCAGGGTTGGGTGTACCGTTTAGGGGTTAGGGTTCAAGCGCTTGAAAAGAGTTCTGAATAAACTAGACAATTGGCTTGGAAAGCAAGCTCAAGTTTGCGCGATCTAGTTTTCTGCAAGGGAGAGATACAGCGCTTTCCTCTTGATTGGTAGGGACCAGCCTGTGTAACTTTTCATGTATAAAGGTCTTGAGTATTTAGTTCGTCATAGAAGCGTTATAAGCCTCAGCATCTGTCTTGCGGTGGTTGAGGGCTGAGGGTTCCATGCTGTTGATGTGCTTTCTACTAAACGGAATGGCGGCTTACGTCTTCCTCTCAATCGACAACCATACCAAACCTTGCAACTTAAGCTTCTTAGCCACCCGCCTGCAAACGTGGAGCTGGCAATGGCACCGGCGCTGAAAGCTGCCTGCCTCAGCAAGGGGGGAGGACGCTCGGTGCTGTCAGGTGGGTCGCACATTGTGGAATGCGTCCTTGCCTTGGAGGATAGCCTCCGGCATTAATCAACATCCCCATCATCAGCAGATCCATCTTCAACTTCACCATCGACACCATGATGCTGAATACGTCGATTATTTTTGTCAGTCTTTCTGCTGCCGCGCACTGCTTGCGCTGTTCGCTTCTAGCTACCTCTAGCAAGCTTCTGGCTCACAATGACAATCATCTAAAGTTCGCATTGAAATCACTAAGGCAAAACCGACACTGAGTGCGGTCGCCACCGTGGGCCAGTGAGGACTGTGTTTCTCCTGTGTTTGTCGCCTTCCTTGCTCTTTGTTGTTGCCTCTTCACCATGTATGGAGTAGGGCAACTCGAAACCCCACCCCGGCACCCAAGCTCACGATGTAGGGCCCGGGTGCATACAGCCCAGGGCGAGGCTAAAGCATCCGGTGCCGGCAGAGACATCCTGCAAGCTTGCAGGAGGAACTGCCATCAAATCGCGCGAAATCGTGTGGCTGCAGGGCCTGGGGGGTTTGGGGCTCTCGAGTCTCGGCCTTGGGGGGGACTGGGGGCCTTGGGGTTTTGAAGTGTCCCAGGAGTCGATGGGGGGTGAGCCATGCCTCAAAGCTGCAAAGCCCTCAACAAGCACTGGAATAAAAAATAATTCTGAGGCTGAATAAAGCAGAGAACTTTGAACGCTCCAACACTAAACACCCTGAGTCCTCGACCAGACCTCGTCTCGTCTCTTCGGATTCCCAAACCCCAAAAAAGACCTGAAGTTCCGAGGGCTCGGGCTCGAAACTTTGCTTTTTGCATAAAAAAAGGTCCCGCGCGAGGAGGACCACCAAAGCGCCCCAAAGACCTGCACAGACCTCACAGGAGGGCTGGGTTTCGCATAAGATAGTATATTGTTGTAGTAGAGTAATTTGTAGTATAGTATGGTAGAGTTGTTTTTATAGCTAGTATAGTATATTTGGGTTTGGGGATTTGGATTGAGGATGTTCGATGTGGTGTTGTTGGGCTTTGGAGGTTCGGGGCTAAGGCGGTTTATTGTTTGCGGTGAATTTAGGCCATGGGGTCTGAGTTGGGATGTTGTGGATTCGGGCCTTAGGTATTGAGCTTGGCTTTGGCATGACAGAAGCCTCGCGGTTGTTGCAATCGTCGTCAACACCGCCCTTCTTCCCTTTGCTTAGCTTGTCGTAGCAGTCCGTGTTGACGCAAGCTCTCCCCAACCCNNCCCCCCCCCCCCCCCCCCGAAACCTTGACCCTAAACGCAAGCGATCTGTGGACTCAGCAAAGACAGGAAAATCAATAATTCAAAACTATAGCTACAGCATTTATCAGCCCAGGTAAAGGAGGTACTACTACTACTACTACTAATAGTAATAATAATACTAATACTAACACTAATAATAATACTGCTTCTTCTTCTAACCTATTGCGAGACCGAGGCACGCCATCGAGGCCCTCGCACGGCAGTAAGCCCAACCAGGGAGTGCCGCCACGTTGGATCCACCAGAGGTCCTCACCGGTCTGGGGCTTGGGGCTTGGGTTGAGGGTTTAGGGTTTAGGGTTTGTTCGGGTTTTTGTTTTTTACGGGTTCTACAGCGGTTCTTTGAGGATTTCGGGTTTGGGATTTAGGGCTTTCGGCATTTGAGGCATGTGGGAAAGGAAGTTTCGGATTGAAGGGTTCGACAAGGGCTTTTGTAATGGCTTATGGTTCATGGTGCGGGCTTTGGAATTTAAGGTTCTGGGCTAAAGGGTTTGTTGATTTTCGGCTTTGGGTTTGATTGTTTTGGGCTGAGGGTTACCACAGCAGCTTGTGACTTCGGCGACTTCGGTTCTTAAGCTGCACGATGAAGGATAAAGCTAAGGCTGGGAACTCCAACACCAGGATCGTCTTTACAAATCATTCAGGTCTCTATAATCAATACTACTTTGCCCACACCCCCACTACCCTACGCGTCCTTCCCCAAACCCCCTCATCCAAACCCACCGTACTATCTTAACTTACTTCCGCAAGTCCGTGGCAGCAGTGAGCAGGGCTCGAATGGTGACCGTTAGGCAGGCGGCAAGGACCAAACGCCTCCACAAGGCTGCTTCAGCGACTAAGAAAAGCCCTACACAGCCTCAAATCTTCTTACCTCTCAACCCTAAATATTAACACCGACACCCTGAAGCCCTAAACCCGTGAAGATGCTGGGCTCTGAACCTTCAACTCCGAATGCTACAACCCATCTCACAGGTTTATGAACCCTACACCTCAGACCCACGAACCTCAAAAACCGGGAAAAAAAAAACTATACTTTCCTACACCCAGAAGCCCAAAGACCCTGCAACAACAGATCCCGAAACGGTTCGGTGCCATAGCAAATGTATGATAACATCACAAGATACGATGTTGCATTATGCTGTACCATATTTTTCAATACTACTATGACTATGACTACACTATGACTATACTATGGCTATACTATACTATACCATACCATACTATACTAAACTATACTACACTAGACTATACTATACTATACGGTAGCTTTTTTATGCTATACGATACTATACTTAAGGTAGTCATGTGGTGCAATGGAATTCAGTATAACAAAATATGAGAAACAAAAAACATCCTATACTTTGGTATAAAATTATGCTTTATGCTATATTATACTAGAATGTAATGTACTAAAATGTAACGCTACATAAGATAATTTACGTTAATATGCTATACTCCATCATATATGATACAACATAATACAATAAAACAGAACCTAAGACAGTCTCATACAAAGATCAGATGACCGAGTCGCTTCCGACCCCCATCTGCCATCCGACCGACGACTACGCTCGAGACCAGCATGCCGAGGTGGGCCACGATCCTTCAGGGCTTTAGGGCCTAGGGGTTTGAGGTTTAGGGTTTAGGGTTTAGGCTTTGGGGTCTAGGGCTTTGGGGTTTAGGGTTTAGGCTTTAGGGCCTAGGGGTTTGGGATTTAGGGTTTAGGGTTTAGGGGTTTGGTGGTGCTGGGGCCGTAGATGTTCTAAACTCTAGGGTTCAGGGTGTAGGGTTGAAAATTCGAGACGTCAAGCGTTGGAGACCGCTGAGATCGAACATCGTGAATTTGGGCCTCGCGGCCCAATTTCTACAATGGCTTCTGGATTCGGGCTTCAGCCCTGACTGCGAAATCAACCTCAAGCGTCTGCGCGAAACCGAGGCTTCTTGGCAGCCCCCCAACATGGAGCTATTGTCAGTGTTCCGGGCTTCATCCTCAGCCTAACCCAAGACCCTCACATGAAGGTTCTGTGCTCCCGAGCTTCATTCAAACCGGGCCTCATCGAAGGCGCGTCAAGGGGTAATGGAAAAAGTATCGGGTCTTGGCGAATTTTTTGGCAGCAACGCCCCGGCAGCTCCAGAAAACAGGGCCCCTGGATAGCAAGACCCGGGATGCGAGGACCCAAAACGCGGATCACGCATTGAGAAGCCCCCCGCCCTTCATTCATTTGCCCAGGTTCTGCGCAGCTGACGTGTAGCTGATGGCCTGACCAGGCAATAGTGCGGACGCCTGAAAGCAGAGGAATGGGGGCACGCCTCAACCCTGCTTCCCTACACCCCTACACCCTTGAGCCCCAAAACCCCAGTCATGCACGCCTGACACCTGAACTGTACAAACCGGGAGGAGTTTCGTCTTCGTGTTTGGAGATGAAGCAAACGGAGCCTTGAAGGAGGGCAACTGGAGTGTTGCTGTGTTTTCTTGACGGCTGAGGTTGAAGTGTCTTAGGGTTTCTTAGGGTGCACGAGCTTAGGCTTCAGATGCTTGGGGGTTGCTTGGCGGGCTCTGCAGCTCAAGATCTGCTCAAAGAGGCCCTAATGTCTTGAACCCCGGAGCCTCTAAACCCTAAACCCCTAAGCCCGGAGCCTCTTGCACAAGAAGCTGAAGCTGGGCCATATTCCTTGGTCTGAGTGGCTGGGGATTGAAGAGCCGATTCAGAGCTTTGGGCTTCTCTCTTGTGGATTTGAGGGTTTGGTCTTGAGGAGTCACACACTGAGGATTCAATTCCCAGGGTAGGGAATGTGTTGGATTGTAGAAAGTAGAAAAGCCGGTCTTGTTGATCGAAGGAAAGGTGTTGAAAATGCACAACCTGCTTCCGAAAAATCCCGGGCGAGAGGTGCGAGACCGATCCACAAACATAGACCCGTGCCGGCGGTTCAAGCCCATTTCCGAGAAGTCCCGACCAAAGGGCTCGGATTCTCGGCCAGGCGGCGCGAAGTTGAAGAGGAAAGACAACAGCAGCGAGAGCAGGAAAGCCTGGCTGGCATTGCTGGAAGCTGGGCATTTTGGCTTGTTCCGGATTCTCAAGCACATGCGCAGTCAAACTCCCAAAACGAGGTCATGGCACCATGCTAGGGCTGCCAGCTGCAGGCTTAGAGATATCTCGTTGTCCTTTCTGAAGGCTGAGGCCGGAAATCCTTCTGAGGTTCTGCTTCCAAGGTCCACCTCAAATGCACCGCCGATGCCGCACACACACACACACACATATACCTCAACAGCAATGAACGACAAACCTTGATCGCTAAATCGCACAAGAATCCGCCCTGAACCCCCAACCCTACACATCCAAAAGCCGCACCCGAAACCCGAATCCCTGCTTCCCAATCCCAAGCGCTAGAATCCCAAACCCAAAAAACCCTACACCCTAAACTCCCTACACCCTAACACCCTCCAGCCCTGAGCCCTGAAGCCGTATACCCCAAAGCGGCTTCTCTTGGATGCCTTGCGCGTGAAAAGCACCTCGTATCCAAGCTTAGTGTCGGGCCTGAGCGCGCTCTGGGGGAGGAGGGGCAGAGTTTTGGGGTGTCCCGCTTTGGAAGGGGTCCTTCAAGGGTCTAGAATTGGGCTATAAAGGCTCTGTTGCAGCCTCATGCGGGATTTTTGACTGTTTGACGGGGACTTGATGGGTCTTCTTTTCGGAGGGTTGGGTCTGCAAGACATTGGAAACTTGTTTTGTCCACTAATCAAGGGCTTCAGCGTTTTATGGCAAGCCTCCGGTTCCAAGTTGAAGGGGTCGGGCGTAGGGATGAAGTTGTCAGGGTCTAGGGCTCTTAGCGCAGAGTTAACGGCTTCAGGGCTCAGAATAGTTTAGCGTATGTCGCATGAGAGGTTTTGATGAACAAATTTGGGGTCTCAGGCTGCCAGGGCACATCGCGCGGAAATCCGAAGGCGACGCCGAGTCCTCGAGGCCCGCTGCACGGCGATGGTCGATCTTGCTGTAGCCTTGAAGACATGTCCCCGTAAGGACTAGACTCTTGGCGCGTTGATAGGTTACAGTTTCGGGCTTCGGGTCTAGGGGTTAGGGTACTGGGACCCAGGGGGTTTGCCGGCTTAGGGATGTAGGCAGGGGTTTAGGGGTGCGAGGCCTAGGGTTGGGGGTTCAGGACATACGAGCAGCCGACGGGGAAAAGCAACAGACAGACTGCATACTAAGAAACCCCAAAAACTCAAGAACCTCTAAATCCCAAAAACCATAAGATCGAAGGCTTTTCATCCAAACCCGACAATCCTAAACCCCTGGAAGCATAATCCCTAACTAGAAGCTTCAGCTCACTTTTTGCACCTCCATCTGGACGCGATCCACTGGCTGTCTGCATATGCTTCGGCATACAAAGCTCGAGAGCCCCGAGGTATTACCATCTCGGTCATCGAAGAAATATGCATTAGCCCCAAAAGGAAAAGTGACCCATCCATTCCCACCCCAAGCCAGTGTAAGAACTACCAGCGCTAGCTGCACGTTGAGAAAAGAGCAAACCATAATGCAGGAGGCAGCTGCTGCTCGGTCCACTGCTCCGCCTTCTCCAGTAGGACAGGAAAGGCCTGGGCGAAAAACAAGATCCGCCGCCGAACGTGCTCGGGCTGGTTCGGCAAGAAGACAATGGCCTGGATCTCCTGGAGGTAGATCTCCATGACCCGGTGGGAAGCCCACCGGCCTCTACGTCGAACCAGTTCACTGTCCTCTGAGAGCTGGAGCAAGTGGGTCGCTCCTCCCGGACGGAACGACCCGAGGTCAATCGCCCTCTCGCCGTCGCGGGCGATGACCCCGAGCCGCTCCAGCACGCTATCAAGCCTCCTGCGAAGTGTCTGCGAAGACCTCGGCCAAAGCTTCTCGGCAGGCGGAGCGGAGCCAAAAGCCATTGTAACGGTACGGACCAGGTCCTCGGGCTCGACTTTCGCCGCCTGGTGCCTTGCCATTCTCAGCCGTGTCTTCGGCTCTTGTATCCGCAAGAGGATGAATTTTTGCATGCCCAGGACGTCCTGGGGGAGGATAAGGTCGGCCCTCTTTGCGTTCACCGCCTCACCGATGCGTAGCAAACCTCCCCAAGCCAAGGCAAAAACTCCGGCCTCTTTTACCCAGCCCCACAGGAGGCAAACAGAAAGCGTCGCCAACAAGAGCACCAGTGGCATGGGCACATGGTGCGTATAGGGCTCCAAAGCCAACCAAGAGAAGGCCAGGTCCCATGGCTCCTGCAACTGTCGCCGCACCGACGGCACCCTAGCCGAGACCGCGTTGACAGTTTCGCTGAAGTGCCAGTACGGGCGGCCTCCCTCAAAAAGCTCTCTTCCATAGGTCGCAAGGGTGCGGCCTATTTCGGCAGCGTCCAAAGGGGGCCTCTCCAGCATGGCAAGCGAGGAGCTTCGTTGTCTCAGCCAGTTTTCGAAGGGCAGCTCGGTTCGAACGAGTGCGAGGCAAAACGGGTCTGCCAGTAGGAAGCTCGGAGGAAGCCCTGGCTTCAACCCTTTCTGCGTCCCTGTGGTGCCTAGGGAGCACCGGTCCTTCTCCAGGGTAGCCGAGTGTGGAGTCAAAGCTCAGCAAAGGCAGCGGAGGCTCTTGGGGGCCAAAGGTGCCACAGGTGGAAGCTAAGAAACCACAAAGGGACCTACAACCGCTCCTAAAGGGAAAGGCACCTAGGGACCCACTAGGGGGAGTAGGGAGGAAGCAGCTCAGCAGTGTCACGAAAAGGCCCAGTGATGGCCCGCTCTCCTCGTGCCTCACGGCGTCCCAGCACTTGCGGCTAAGCACTTGACCAGGGTAACCAAGAGAAGCGCCAGAGCTCTGGAGAGACAACTGAGGACCTCTGGTCTGGAGGCAGTGCCCTAGGAGGGCGGGACCTTCTCCAGGGTAGCCGAGTGTGGCGTCAAAGCTCGGGAAAGGCAGCGGCGGCTCAGGGCACGCTTCGGACACGCTGGGCGGCCCCTGACAGGGGGAGCGCTCACTCCTCCACGGAGAGCCAAGCGCACGCAGAAAACCGCCTAGGGGCCTAAACCCTACTAGGAGGCAGGCGAGGCGCAAGTTTGCAGTAGGGCCGCGGAGCTGCTTGAAGGCACACGCTAAGTAGAGGTCGTTGGGTCTTAGGGCACCTAGCAAGGAAAGCCCGCAAGGGGCACGCAAGCTGACGTTCCTCGTCGGGTCGTCGGCGACGTTCAGCCGGGTAGGCCCAACCGAAGGGTAGAGCCCTCCCGAGATCTGGAGGGCCGCGTTCTGGAAGAGAATCTTCCTCAAGGCTCGGGTCGAGCTACGACCTTTGGAGGCAGCACCTAGAGCAACAGCAGAGTCGACAATGTGGGTGTACCGGAGGTCGCCACCTTCACAAGAGAGGTCACGCAGCACCTTCAGGTAGGCCCTAGCCTCGAGCACGTTTATGTGCTCGGCTTCTCCCCAGCTCCAGGCGCACCCTGTCTTCCAGCACCCAGAAGCGAGCAAGTCGTTGACAACTAAGCTTTCAAGGCCACTCTTCGGTGCTGGGGTTGCCGGGCGGGCAAGGAGGCAGGCAGACAGGCACGCAACCAACCGTTCTAAGAACCTAGGACAGCACCCGAAACTCTCCTTCGCAGGTGAGGGCACAGCTGGGAAACCAGGGGTACAGGCAGTCCTAGGGCTCTTAAGGGGGAGGCCGAAACCCGAGGTCAAGAGGGAGGCTACGCCAGCGAGGGCCTCAAGGAAGGCCAGCCTCGGGGAGCCGCAGAAGGGGGACAGACCTCCACAGACAAGTAGGACCGGCACGCGGTTTCGCCAGGCACACCAGAAAAGAGCGCAGAGGCTCCAGGAGGCGCGCACAGCACGGGAGGTCCGGGCAGTGGCCCCGCGCCTGCTCTGCCTCAACACAGAAAGGGCACCACTCGGCAGGAAAAAGGGCAAGTGAAGCGAGCCTCCCGGCCGACAGCAGGTGCATGGCCCACTCCAAAGCGTCAGGGTCGCACAAGTCCAGGTGCCTAGAAGTGGAGGCGTCGAGGATAGGGCCCCCGACCAAGCCAAGGCCAGAGAGCGCAGCATGCAGCTTCGGGGGCGCGGGGCCAGCGAGGAGGAAGTCGAACCTCTGGCCAACGGGCTTCTTAGGCTGAGGGGTCGGAGGAGCGGCAGGGCTCTCAGGAGCAGCGAGGGGCTCAAGGCCAACGGCCGAAAGGGCGGCACGCCAAGGCTCGTCAAGTCTTGTGTAAAACCCTTTGTTGTCTGCCGACAGCCAGAGCGAGGCAGCTACGGGGGTCGGCACGGAGGCAACGGTGTAAGCACCTTTTGCAAGGGAGGCGGCCGAGGCGAAAACACGCTGGCAGTAAGGCACGGAGACGTTTGTGGCGAGGACCGGGGCAAACACTGCCAAAAGCACGAGCTCCTGACGAACGGCGGGCCTTAGGGGCACGAGGCGCGAGCCAAGCTCACCAGTGAACCCGGAGACGCCGAGGGAGAAAACTTCGTTTGCCAGGGCCATGGCACACCTCCTGAACATAAGTGCAGAGACCCAGCCCCCTGAAAGCTGTGAGGCGAGCTCGTCAGAAATCCATCGCAGCGAGGCGGCCCGCAAACTGACAAGCGACAAAGCGAGCCTCTTCTTCGCTGGGACGGCCACGCTCACGAGGCCCTCCTTTACACCTGAGGGAGAGGAGTCACACTCAGCACCGGCAACGGTAAACACCCCAGCCCCGAAAACGTCCTTGTCGTCGGATCCCCGGATGCCTTCCCTATCATAACCCTGCTTTGCTCGGCGCACGAGCCGTTCCGAATCGGTAACGGCACTGGGCGGTCGGCTGAGAGGCTCAGATGAAAGGCAAAAGAAGTCGTCGATGACGACCCCAGTCCAGGGTCCCTCTCGACTGAGAGCGTGCTGCGCAAGGATCCGCCCATTCTCAGCCGTAGGCAAAACACCCTCACGCTCGAGGAAGCAAGCATGCGCTGCCGTTGCCAGCTCCACTCCGCTGGCATCGCCCTGAAAAAGGGCAGCGAAACAACCGTGCACCGGGGCGTCCAAGTCCAACAAAGCAGGCCGAGGAGCAAAAGCGGAGGCAGGGGCGAAAAGTCCAAGCCCACAGGCGGTGACCCCGCCAGCCCAAGCACAGTAGTCCTCAAAAGCACGCGTGCCAACAAAGTCTCGCAACCTGAAGGAGGGCCGGACTGCGTTGCTGAAGCTGCGCTCGCGAGTTACGCCGCACTGAGAGTAGAAGTCTTTTCTGTCCGTAGAGCTCCCAATGAGCTGGTGGCTGAAGCGGGGGACCCAGAGCCTTGAGAGGAGGAAGCCTTGGGGCAGCTCGTGCGAAACACCTTCAAGCTTCGCCTCGTAGGAGTTTTGTCCACGGCGGTCGCCTATTTGGCGAAACTTTCCTGGGCTCTTGAAGGAGCCAAAGACACGCGAGCACCGCCTCCGATCGACAGGCCCCGGCCGAAGGCGCAGCAAAGACTTTGAGTCCCAAACCAACATGAGCTTGTGGAGCTCTTCGAGGTCCTCTTGCTCGAAGGTAGGGGCCGGACCACCTGTGCCACTGAAGGTCTCGAGCACCGCCGGCTCCTTGAAAGCGAGGAGCATACCAGGGCCAAGGTAAGGAGCAATGTCCCAATTTGCCTCGCCATGGAGCACAATGGTCTCTGCCTGGACGGGCTGGTAAGGCCTCAGGCAATCAGGCCCCGAGTCGGAGTGAGGCACGCGAGGGCAGGACGGAAACGTGCAATTGACTCGGGGGCCTCCGAAGGGGCACGTGCCGGCACCCAGCGTGCACAAAGTTAAGACCCATGACCAACGTGTGAAGGGCCTGCTTCATACCAACTGGGGCTCTGCGAGCTCCACCTCGCCTGCGGGACATCTCGGCGACCGGGATCCCATAGGGGGCCGGCAGCGGAAAAAGGGCGGAAGGAGCGGAATGACCATCGCTCCGCTGGAGGTGCAAAGTTTTTGACAAAAAGTGCGCAAAGGAGGTCCCGGACTTAAGGACCAGCCGGATGAGGGAACTGGCCCACGACATGAAAGTGAATTCGCCATCAAAGTCCAGAGGCTCCGGGCTTGAGGGAGGGCATGCATCCTGGGCCCTAGGGCCTACTTTCCCGCACCGCCACCGGCGGCCTGCGCCGCCTTCTTGGCTGCCCACTGGGCGGCCCTGAGAGCTGCTTTTTCGAGAGGGCCGTCTCCTCCTGGGACTCCTGAGGAGGCGGGCCACCGGGGGGCTTCGCAGCTCGTTCAGTCGCAAGCCACTTTGGCAGAGATGGTCGCACGTATAAGCGACCAGCTGGAGGAGCTCCGCAATGCTCCGGGGCGAGCCGGTGTCGTGACCGACCCACCTGCACAGGCAGCGCCTGCTCTGGCTGCCCAGGTTGCCAGGCAGGCCCCTCTGTCCGCCCACCTCCCGGTCTTGGAGTCTCAGGCCAAAGCGCAGCAAGGAGCTCGCCTCGCGTTGGCTCCGAACCCTCCGCCTCTGCTTTCAGCCCCGAAGTCGCTTGCACACGTGTTGGGGCCGCCTCCTCCTGTCCGAGCCCTTCCCGCTGCAAACGTGTTGGGGGCCCCCCAGGTCGACCAGGATGCGCAGATGGCCGCCGCCATTTCTTCAGGAGAGCTGCCCGACGTGCGGCCTCAAGACGAGCTGACGGCGGCGATGGTAGCGCAGAGTCGGGCGCTTCTGGCGCTGGTGGGGCAAATGTCGCAGCGTCTCGGCCCGAGGTTCCCAGACCCGACAACGGTTGCAAGCCGAGCTGGCCCTGCACACGGGGTCTTTCGCAGAGAAGGTGAAGGAGCGAGCCCTGGCTCGAATGGCCCCCGCGGGGGTGGGCTCCACCGAAGTTTTCTCTCTGTGCAGGTACCTCGAAAGGTTTGGAGGCTACGCAAGAAGCAAGGAGCAAGGGCTCGTCGCCTGGCAGGTCGCCATAGCCTTCGACCTCATCATGTCGGGGAACACCTCGGGGGCGGCCGACACGCTGGCCCTCTTGGCCCTGTACCTCGACCAGATGACCTTGGATGGGTCGACCACGGTGGCTTGGCTGATGACCCTGTTGCAAGACCCGCCCCAGAGCCTGTTCACCGACAACAGCCCCCCGCCGGGCATCAGCGTTCAGCCCTTCAGTCATCTCGCGGACCAGAAGTGGATAACCTCGGCTCTGGGTTTCCTGCGGGAGATGGACTTGATCGCCACCAGGCGTCAGGAAGCGAAAGGCAAGCCAAAGAAGCTGCGCCATGGTCGGGCGCTTCGGCCTCCCACCACGTTTTGCATCCGGGCCTGCAGGAAGAGCGGCCGGCTCGGAAGCTGCCGTTTGGTAACCTGAAGAAACACCTGCACCTTCGCTCAAAATCCACTGCCTGGCTTGCGAAAGAACCTCTGAGGCAAGGGGATAGAAGGTGGGCTCGGAGTCGAGGAAGTGGCTGCCGATGAAAAGGTCTGCATCCATCGGGGTCAAAAGCTGGGCAGCCGCGGCAGGAAAGTCCACGACTAGGGCGGCTATCAGCTCGCGATCGGGAACCCCACGCCATTCCCCCTCCTCGGAAAGAGCCACCGGAGGGGCACGCACTCGGTGGAAAGGGCCCGGGCCAGAAGGGGCCTCGGCCTCCTGAGGCTCCAGCTCCGCCGCGGAGAAAAAGCCATCCGGCAAACATAGCAAAAACCCGTCCTGCCGGACGAGAAGCACATAGCACACGCATGACCGCTGGCCCTCGGGAGAGTCAGGCACCGGAGGCCAAGTGAGCTCGAGCAAATCCACGACGCCGGAGGCGGCCGGAGTGAGGGCCGCTAAATCCATTAGTTCGGATAGGGAAGCCCAGCGCCCGCAAAGTAAGCTCTGGCCTCGTACTCGCTTGGGAAGGCGTGAGAGACTGACTCTCTCCTCTCAAGTACCCCAGGCACGGCCCGGTACTCGGCAAAAGTCTTGACCACCACCGGCTCCTTGACAGCCCGGGTGCGAAGCACACAATAGACCCTGTTCCGCACCGAAATCCAGGGGGTCTTGTTGGTGTAGTCCGCCTGGCCACTGAGCACACGGCGCGCACTAAGTCCAGCGCGCCAGGCACGATCGATCCGACCTCGGGGGCTTAGGTTGCAAGCAGCGAGGAAACGGGCGGAATCGGCAACAAAGGCGGGGAGCTCCGGAAGCTGGCTCTCAGGACCAGTGGGCTCAAGGCCCAGCAAGGGGTACTCAGGCACCGCGAGGGAGGACGGAAAAGGAGGAGGCACAGAGGAGCTGGAGTAGGCAGGCTGCAGGGGGACGCTGGAACCAGGGGTTTCCTGGCTCCCACGGGGAGCGTCACGGGCACGGGGGGGCAGTCTTTCAAGCTCTGGCAGGTATCCCACAAGGGGCGAGGTATTTGCAAGGGGAGGATCCACCAGCGTGAAAGAGCCAGTGGAAGAGGGGGAAGCAGCCTCCGGAGGAGGCGTCTGCGCCCTACTTGAAGTTGTATCAACCACTACGTCAACACCTTCAACCTGCACCCTGACCCTCGGCATACAAATACCCCCGAAGCCTTGCTGCCCTCTGCCTCGCGAGCCGACCTGCAGCCGGCGAAGCGAAGTTCTCAGCAGCCTGCTCCCAGGCCCAAAAGTGTCCCCAATAAATATATGCCACGACCAGGCCCAAGAAAATTATACCACAGAGCCAGCCAACCACAAGAGTCAGCAGAACCACGGCCCAGCTAGTTGGCTGGCAGTGCGAGGGGCACGCCAGGCCCCACCAATTTGTCTGCACCCCTTCTTTTAAGAAGCTAAGGCCAGACAACAGCACAGCAGGGACCATCAAGTAAAGAACCCTGCTGAAAAACTTGAGCCCCGGCACATCACGTTCACGCGCTTCTATTTCCAACAAAAAACCTCAAACCGTACATCTTACGAGCCTAAAGCCCTACAACCCTCAACCATCCAGACCCCAAACCCCTATCAAACCCGAACCTGCCGGCCCAGCAACGGATCATCGGAAGCGCGACCACGGCCAAGACACAGGTGGCCAAGGGCACAGCGACCCAGAAGGGAGCGGTCTCGGTGGCCTTTAAGGGTTTTCGATTTACTATGAGGCTTACAAGGGCTACCATTGGGGTTTACAAGGGCTTGCTACGGGGTTCATACTGCCTACTATGGGCTTGTTTATCAAGGCTGCGTTTGCCACGCAGGGCGAAGAATTCAGGATCCAGGTGGTGCAGGGCTGCGGGTTGAGGTTTCGGGCTGAAAGCCCCCGGGTTACAAGAATTTAACCTTAAGAGTAGAAAGGGGTCTAGGGATGCGGCTGAGGTTCAAATTTTTAGAGTGTGAGATTTAAGAGGTTTGGGCGTAGTCACAGCATAGCTAAATGCACATATATACATATGTGTGTGTTATGTGCGTTTATCTGAATACAATATAATGCTTTGTATTGTTGTGTCAAATTATGCTATTATGTGTATTCTCTGACATTGCATATACTCATATACAACACAGACACCCGCCCGAAACTGGATCCCTTGGAAAAACCCGAGCTGTTTCCAGCCTCGGAGGAGCTTCCTGAGGAGCTGCTCGAGCTCCGGGAACCGAGAAGGGAGAGACCCGCCATGGACGCAGAGCAGATCACAGTTCCTAAGGTCTCTAAGAACGGCTTGTAAGGTTTCTATACATGTGCCTATACATGTTCTAGACTTGTTCCTGTACAAGGTGTACATTGTCAGTTCTGCAAAAGTTCTGCAAAGGTACAAGGCTCTATGTACGGGTTGAGGGTGTAGGGCCGCGGGTTCAGGTGTACAAGCGAGGGTGTGGAGTTTGGGATTCAGGGCATGGGGTTTCCAATGCTTGGGACTAGGGTTGAAGGCTGGGGGTTTGGGATTTTGCGGTGTCGCCTTGAGATTGGGCTGGAAACTTTAGGGTTTTGAAATGTCTGGGTTCGTTGCTAGGGCGCTATTTGGTCTTGGGGGACATTGCTTTGGGTTGATGTCGCGGTCAGAACAACCTCATGAGACTTGCAAAACCCCTAGAACGCGGCTTTGGCGTGTGCGGTCTAAGGCTTAGGGCAGAGGGCCTGTGTGGGGTTTTCGGGATAGTTTTCGGATGATTCACAGCTGCTTGGGCTGCCAGCAGTCTCTAGACTGTAGCTAGGGGCCGCAAGCTGCGTGTCTCCACGGGTCGCATAATGGCCCGGCGGGTCATGCCACTGCTTGAAAGACGAAGGTGCGGCTCGTCCTCATGGGCCGACACGCAGTTGAGGCACAGGGCGCCTGCGTAATGCAAGGCATGCTCAAGGTCCACGGAGTCCCGTCCGGCAAATATGCATCCAGAATGTCCAGGTACATGGGGCCGTCGCAATGCTCCACACACGTCCCAATGCTAGGTCAAACGCACTGCCAACAACAAGTTCCTCATCCAACTCCAAATCCTTGCCTGAGGCTCATGCCGATGTGCTCTGCCACCGATATACTCTCCTAGAGCGGGACATCCGTCCTTTGGTGAAATAGCACTTGTCCACTGATGCCGTTGCATGCCGGATCAAACATGTTGCAGCAGATTACGTACCTGTGTGCACACGTAATGTTCTGCTTAGACTGTCTGGCTCTTCGGCGAAACGACGCCCGATCCACGTGGGTCATCGCATCGACATGCCAGTAACTCCAGTGAGAGGTCAGGCGACCATGCCAATCGCATGCTTCGACGTTGTACGATTTCAACACGGCGTGACAGTGTGCCAACGCTCCATAACCCCGTTCCAACTGAACACTGAGAATATGAGCTCATTCCTGTACGAGCGCATCGCCACAACCAAAGCAACCCGAGAGAGAGAGAGAGAGAGAGAGAGAGAGAGAGCGAACGAACCTTTTGGGGTGTGCAGCTCAGGGTTTCGAGTCCAGCGGTTTGGGATTAGAGTTTAAGGTAACATTCTTGAAGCTTTAGCTTGGAAGCTTTTCGGTTAAACAAACCAAGCCAAGGTCAAGCAGAGAGGCCCACGTGGGTTCCCACATTGTTCAAGGCCACCTGCCTGGGCGGGCTTCCCCTTGGGAGTCCTGGGCCTTAAACCCTAAATCTTATAAATCCTAAACCGTAAATCCTAAATCCTATAAATCCTAAACCCTAAACCCGTTAAATCCTAAATCCTATAAATCCTAAACCCTAAACCCTGAACCCGGCCCAAGAGTCTGCTACAGGGTCTATCAAGGCCTCTACCAGGCCTACAGGAGTTTTGTGATTCTAGGCCTCTGAGCATTGGTCTCCGAAGCTCTTTGAGGGTTCGTCGTATGTCAACCGTGGTCAAGAATTCAAAAAAAAAGGCTGGAGAGGATGATGTTCCAGCGTCCCCAGGCCGGCACTACACCCCAATAGCAGGAAGTCCAAGGGGAATGAGACACAGAATCACACCATCATTATGACGAACCGTGGCTGAAGATTCCCAACCCGCAATGATGCTTGGAGGCCGAGTCTCCGAAGTCTAGTATTGCCTTTCACCAGATGGAATCAGCTTATTGCGGCTGGTCCACGTTGGGCTTAGGGTAAACGGGCTGGGGCTAGAGCTGGGGTTGCTCATTTTTGTCGTTACGACTGCTATCTGAAAACCTGGAGCGCGTACACAGAACCCGAGCTCCTCATCTAAGTTATCTCGTGCCTGACCCTGCTTGCCTGACCGGAAACCATCAACTGCCAAAGCCTAGAATCAGGTTCAATGTAAAGTGCCGCATATCGCATAGGCTGGCCCCAAATCCCAAATCCTACTCAACGCGTCAGCTATGCTGCTGAGTGAAGCCCGACTCCGTGACACCCAGTGTCAGGGAGTTGATGGCCAGAGGAACCAACGTCATCGCTATCGCTTGGGGAAACTCTGCGGCAAGCCTGAAGGTGCAGCACCCCCAACACCCTGGCTAAAGCCGAAACCCCTACTCACATATTTTGCTTAGCAATGTAGCTTAGCGATTCAGGGACCATGGCTTAAAGGGGCTGGGGCTTGGAGCCACGTTTCAAGGTTCAGGTTCGATGAGGGTTGAAGGCTTTCCGGGTCTGAGGGACGGTACAGCAGTGGCGCAACGGCACCATTGGACCATGGGTCATTGAGGGGAGCTGGAAGGCAGGAAAAGCTCAAGGCTGTGAACAAATGCGCGGCAGCGCGGAATCCAGGGAGATCAGGAGCTTGGGCTGTGAGGTTTAGCGTTTAGGAGTTTGGGGATGGCTGTGCTACCAACACCGGAGCTTACTTGGAATCTCAACTCCGAATTAGAACGGCTGCGCTAATCTCGGGACCCTCCAAAGCGAAACTCTAAGAATTCGAGTCCAGAAAAACTTCAAGCCTCAAAACGCAGACCCCCCAACCACAAAGAGCATCACCAATCCGATATCCGTCCAGCCAAACAGCTCCAACCAGAACGACTGCGGCATGAAAACGCCGATGGCAGCACTCGCAGCGGCGCAGAAGCTCCCAAAGACTACCTCCAGCTTGTTGTAGCTTCATGCAAGGAACCTTTACAAGGTTTAAGCTTAGGTTTCAGGCTTTCGGATGTACGTGGTGTTTGGGGTTAGGTTGCAGGGTTTGAGGTTTAGGATTTGGGGTTTGAGGCTCAAAGATTTTGCAGAGACTTTAGCCTCTTGTTAAAGCTGTTGAAGCTTCTCTCAGTCGGGGTGGGCAGGTTCTTGCGGCGGCGATGCAGGTGATAAAGCCTGAAGCCCTCATGAAACCAGCCGCAGACATGACGCAAATGTCAACAACCCTGAATCCGGAACCCTGAGCCCAACTTCATACCGTTATACCCGTGATTCTACATGATCCTATGTATCCATGATCTGCCTTAGAGTCATAAAACCCGAACCTTTGTCGCCATGTCTTTGCGACTGGTAGGTCGTAAACCGTCCGTAGAGTTTGTGGCTATTGAGTGGACCGGAAATATTTGCTCCGAAGCAACAAAGCCAAAACCCATACTCGATGGCAAAACCATGCAACAGACAAACATGGTGCAAGCAACAGAAACCCCGAAGGAGCAAAGGCGTGGTTGCTTTTGCTTCCCACAAGCCGAACCACGAGACTCCTCTTCCACGTCGTGCCGTCCACGAAACCGCCCAGCAGGGGCTGAAAAACCGCAACGAGGACCTGCATTTTGGGCGCAGGACCGCCTTCAGCGGGGGGGGTGGGGTTGAAAGGCTTTGCGCTGACAGGCTGCCTTCTCCAGTTCAGACTTCGTGCTTTGGGGCCTTGAGGTATGGAAGTCTTCTGCTTGGCCTCCGGAATGCTGAATCAGTGGGCAACCCCACCGGCTTATGACATATGAGGAAGACGCGGACGCGACGACATGAAACGAGCAGGCCGAATCCATTCCCAGATAGCTGCAGAGGCCAATTTACTTGCCCTCTCTTACACCTCCGAGTTCGGTGGCTCCAAGGTTCTTACTTGGGCCTGTTTGGGAAATGCTATAGGGCTTACGAAGGCGCCTGCTGCACTGCGTTGAGCTCGCCGAGCTCTGCAGGCGAGTAGCGGCGGAAGGGGTTTGCGGTGAGCCAGGCGCCTTCCTAGGTCTTGTCAGGGCCCTTGGACCCCGAACCCCATGGCCCTGGTGGCCCTAGTGCTCCCGTTCAAAATATCAAGGGGCATCTACAGTCTGGTGGCTTTAAGGTTTCGGGGGCTAGGGCAATGCACGGACACCCGACCTGAACCGCAAACCCCCAAACCCGAAACCTTAAACCACTCATGAGACACCCCAAAGTAAGTCAAACTCGGTAATGCCCTGACGCCCTAAACCCTAAACCCCGAACCTTAAGCCCTAAAGCCTAACACCGAAACTTCCCCAAACCCAACAACGAGAAGCCAGGTCTCATAAGGACCCAAGGGTTGGCCAGCCACGAAGATGGAGACCAAGAAGAGGCCCATGGCCTCCCGATTCCTCCACGTCCACGTCCTGAGAATAGGACTTAGCGCTTAGGGTTAACAAGTATTATTGCGGCTTCAGGGTTTCAGGGTTGAGGGATTCTGTGGGGTGGGGGTGTTTGTGGATCACCCTTCCAGCTGCAGTATTAGCCATGTGGACCAGCAACTTACGGTGGCTCGAGGATGCAGGGATTTAGGATTCAGGCAGTACGGGCTTGAAGGTGTGAGGTCTGGGGTCCTGGGGTTCAGCTTTTGGTGCTCCTGTTACTGTGGGCTTACACGCTCAACTTTCCTTGTGGAGCCATGGTCTAGATGACGCGCACACGTTTTGGTAGATGAGAGCCGAGGTTGTGAGCTTCGCTGCGGGCATAAGGCTCCGCAGAGCCCAGACGGCATTTTGTCAGGACAACTCCTGCAATATGCCTGAACCCTCGACTTTCCAGTGTGAGCGAAGGGTAATATGGAGCGGAAGTAATGGCCCCTCTAGTAGATGTGAATGCAATCCACTCTTGCAGGCGCAAAGCTTGAAACACCAGAGAGGCCAAAGACATGCGAGAAGGGTGCAACCTCCAAGTATCTATTACGGTACAGGGGGCTCTTGTAGAATCTAGGGATTTATTCAATTATTCCCCCTCGAAGCCAACACCTGCTAAAACAAGTCAGGCGAAGCAGTTGATGAACAGAGTCTCAATTGCTGCTGGTCATCTCACTCGGAATAAAGCCAAGGCTCACGCCCGTCTCCTCCCCGACGCTAGCACCACGGCAACAGGCATTGTAGCAGAAGGCCGCCAGGATGAGCCTGAGGCCAAAAAATAAAAGGTTTAGAATGCGAACGAAACAACCAGAAGCTGAGCAAGATGCCGAAGCCCCCATGAGAAACCGAAAAAACCCAAGCCTGTGGTTTTCTCCAAAAACCTGAACTCTGGTGGAGAGTCGGGAGCACAGAATCTGCGGAATGTCGCGGGGCCCAAACCTCCAAATACCCAAACACATGCACTCCTCGACCTTCTGACCCAAACTAGTGGAACCTGAAAACCCATCAGAACAGCTTCTCTGTGTGCGTCTCTGTGTGTGTGTGTAGTATCGCATAATTTCTCTGAAGACTATGATTCGTAGTAGTTATTCTAACCCCGATATCAGAGACACCCAACCGACTCCGCAAACTGCTCGAAGATTTCAGCGCCCGGAGGTTATAGAATCCTCCCCCGAAGCTCTTGAAAACCTGAAGTCCTCGAGCCAGAAGTCAGCGGTCTGTTTATGGGTGCAGTTCGGAGCCCAGGGCTGTGTTGTGGCTTCGGAGCTTGGGAGCTTTGGACTTCTAGGTCCTTGCAACAGCGCACACACACCAGAGCTTCGGGTTTAAGGCTCACGGCCTCTAGCATTTGTCGGATGCTTCTCCGGAGCCCCTCAAAGCCCAGGCACAGGCCCCCTGCAAGGAGCACGGCGATCCCCAGCAGGCAGCTCCAGTTTGGTCCGATGGGCGGCCTGATTTAAACGTAACTAGCCTTGATGATTTTATCGGGGTTTTGGGCAAATGCTCTTCCACCAGATTACAACACTGTAGGACCGGACAAGCTCTGCGGCTTGGTTGATGGTCTGAGATTCTAGGGTTGAGGTTGCGTGGTTTGGGGTTAGGTGCAAGGTTGTGTTTGGAGTATGGATTCGGCTTAGCAGCTTGTGAGTTTTAGGTTTGGCTTCAGGTGTGGGTTCAAGCAGAACTTCATGCGATGTTACAATAATTTGTCCTGACTCTAGGGTCTGTTATCTACCTCCCTACATGGGGTCGTTCCAACCTGTTTCCGCGGCGGCCCAAAAGGTTTAAGGGGTTTGCCACTACTTCCTGCCGAGATGTCACCATGCCGAGGGGTTGCAAGAGTCCATATTGCCCATATCCAAGCACAAGACGGAACCTCAAGCCCAGTGCCGGTTTAGGCAGTGTTCTGCTGGCTAAGACCACCATCAGCCCCAACAGAAGGAATGCAACAGGTGCATGCATGTGGACCATCATAAATCAATACTTTGCACGAATAGCTATCAAAATAGTCAGCAAAGATGCATGACCAGCACACCGAGGAGGGTGATCACAATCGTCGGCAAGAAGGAGAACTTGCTGTAGGTGGTGGCCGTCAAACCTCTTTCCTGGAGCTTCGGGGAACCAGGTGTCTTGCTATTCGCTATCATTGCTGAATAACTTTGCTTGTTTCCTTGTCTAGCGCGTTGAGTTTTGCGGCTAGCCTCTGTCCTTTTCTGCAGCCTGAGTTGGAGACGAAAAGGCTCCTTTCGGAGACTTCTCGACCCTTCCAAAGCCTCGAAGAGACTGAAGGGCGTCTGGATTGCTGTGCTCCTAAAAGACTGTAGAGTCGCTGGACAAATGATTCTTCATGCGCAGTAGGACGATTTCTTGCGCCGCCAATCTCGCAGTTGACTTCCGGCACATAGCCCAAGAAGCTTACTATTTGCGGGTGAAGTACGTTTGCCCCACAACCTACAATGCCCTCGACTGCAGGGTTCTCGCAAGTCGGATACTCACCGCTTTAGGGGGCCTGCTGGGGTTTCTTATCGCTTTCTGGGGCCATAAAGCTGCCGGAGCTCTCCCTCGTTCTCCGCGGCGTGCGCGACGATGAGGTTGGCGGCGCTGCCCAGCATGGTGAGATTTCCTATTCGGGAGGGGACTGAGGGGTGGATCACGCTCTCTTAATCAGCTCTAAACGGTCGTCAAGAAAAACCAGACCTGAGCCCTACCCCGGATACCTTAAGCCCTCTAAACCCAAACAGCTTCAAGGCCCCTGAACGCCTAAACCAGTTGACTCTCCTGACACCGTGGCCACCCACGCGCAGACCGTCCAGACACCCGCGACGCTGCTCAGCGGCTGGGTGGCGAGGAGAGGCTGAAGCCTCATGGGAGTTTTAGGGTTTAGGGTTTAGGGTGGGAGCTCTTGGGGGATTTGGGGTGTGTGGTTTAGGGTGTTGGCTTCGGATTGAGGGTTTGTAGCCAAGGCTATGCCCACAAAGTGCAGAAACCCAAAAGGGCGTTGTGAACTTCTACGCTCGACGACGGAGTGATCAGAATGTTCAAGACGTCTGCGGCGACGTTTTGAACGTGATGGCTTTGTGCTTCGTGTTGAGGGTGAAGGGATGATAGAGTATGATGAAGATGGATTCTCTCCCTCAATGACCCGGCCCTGAAATAGCCCCGGAAAGCTATCCATATCATGTCAACAGCATGCGCGTTGACAGAGCGAGGGACATTGGGCATGCAGATTCGCCATGATTGAACTCAAACACCTTCAAGCCTCAGGCCCCGATTCGTTATAGATGGGCCACATGAGGATGACGGGGACGTTGCTGATGACATTGGAGAGGACCAACACCACCGCGGCGAACCAAAGAAGGCAGCCTCGACGGGGTTCGACATTCCATCTTCGGGGTTGGTTTTTGAAGGGCCGGGTTACGGAGTTTCAGCGTCCGTGGTTTAGGGATGAGGGTCATAAAGGGCTCAGGGGCGCGGGGCCTGGCGCTGAAGGAGTTGGGCTGTAGAGGTTGGCCTGGCTGTGCAGAGGGCTTCGGGAACGGTGGCAGGGTGCAAGGAGGTTGGGATCAGCTGCAGTCATACCCATACCAATACAAACGCCAATAATTCTCGTAAGTACAACCATGGCAAGAATAACAATAATGATTATAGTATATACTAATAATACTAGAAGCAATAATAGGCATCACCATAATCACAGTCGCCGTCATCATAGTAATAATAACAGTGACAATCATAATAAGTATTTTAGTTCTCCAATAATCAGAATAGCGATAATGAAAAGAAGAACAATAATCATAATACTGTGTAACTATCTTCATAATGATGACAAGAATAGCAATACTAGTACAAACAAAAACAAAAAAACAGTAACAAACGACAATATTCATTTTTCTTATATCAACACAAATAATACTCACAATAATGATAATCATAATACTAGTTACTAGTAGTAATAGTGACAATAACTAGTTATACTGAAAACAATAACCAAAATATTAATCGTGACCTTCTTGAGAATACTAACTCGATGTTTACAATACTGACAACAACAATAACAACGCCCCGACGCCCTGTAAACGCGCGCGTTGTAAGGTTGGTCGTTTTTGCGTGAACACAGACAGAGCGCCGACATGCATTT